TCAAAATCAAACGTGTATAAATAAGACTGAGGAACCAACTACTCTGTAATTAGGAATACATTAGGAGATCTTTACCGGGGTGCGTGCGGTATGTGGTGGTTGGCTTGACTTGATAATTAATTCTTGTCAGTAATGACTGATCGCTAGGGTCCTTTAGTTATGTGACCGCGATTCTTTTCAACATCTTACCTTGGTGGATGATTTATGATCATAGCTTTCTGCAGCAAGTCACTCTGCGGGGTCCATGCTCCCATGACGCGTAAAAGAATTGCCTAGAGCCCCCTTGCATTTTCGAAATACAATCGCTGCGATCTCTCTCGCCACTAATCTGTGGAATGTACGGAGTAGTCAGTCAAGGTTAAAGTTGGTCGATACACTTAAAAATTCAGAGTTTTCTTGGCATGATCCGCCGGGTTGGTGCAAGTGGGTCGGCCAAATAGTTAAGAACTACACTTTTGCTCTGAGCAACCCTAAGGGATAAAAGTTTGGGAAGACACTTGCTTTTTATATGTGATCAGACATTTTCTAAGTTGCTTCAGCCTCCACCGTTCCGTAAATATTATTTTATATTATAGAAGGTAATGCTTTAGCTAGTTGCATTCCCGTGTCACGCCCTACGACAAATCTGAATACAGCAAATGACAAGTTACATCTCTCTACTCCGTACATCCAACAGTCTGCATGTCGACTAGATGGCCAACAAAGCCACTCCGTCCCCTTTACTCGCCCTAATTTGATATTGCCACAAGTAAAGGACAACTTGATATCGCGGCTAGCTTGTCACCATTAAAGAGGCCTTTTATTCTCGTTGAATTACTCTGTAGCCCAACATGTATAGTATCTTGAATAACCCCATAAAGATGGAATGAAAATCTGTAAATAACACCAGTCTGATATTCCTGTCATAGCATGTCTTTTTAATACTTATAGCATCCCGTCAGGAATTGCCTTAGTGAGTTGGACAGGTGTGATTCCAACCTCACAGGTATATGAGTCGGTAGCGTAACAAGCCCTGCGCAACTTGGAAGGCCAGCCTCATAGGGTAGACGGGTTAACTTTCCCGTGGACATCTACGCCACTTACAAGAAAATAAGCCAAGAATGAAGAACCTGGATAGCCACGAGTTTTAAGAGCAAGATCGGCGGTAAAATGGTAGACACAGACTAGTGGATACACAAGACAAAGTTGTCATAGTTGTTAAGGAATGACTACTACGCCCTTGATCTCTGTGGATGGATCCCATAATTGATGGGCCGTCTCAGCTCTTTTATAACCACCCTGATGGAAATGCATCAGAACATTACTTATATAGTGAGCTTTGATGCTATCCTACGTACCGGTCAGCCACTATCTCCCGAAAAGCCGGCGGGGCACGACGGTAGATTTGCCCCAAGCCGAAAGCAATATTGGGAAATTCTGCCTGAGTGAGTTCCCAAAAACACGAATATAGTATCATCGCTAGAGTGGATAGTTTGAGTATATTATTTCAAGCAATTCTCATATTTTCAACTGGAGGTAGTAGGAACATTCATGGCAACATAATATCAATACACAGGGCCACGTATGGAATAGGAACTACCTATTATCCTCAAGCCAACTGCACGACCATTCGATCCTAGACTTGGCAGGTCAAACGCCCCAGATAGCAGCCATAAAAGTGGAGTGTATTTGGTAGAGTTTGCACATAGAACCTGGGATTCTGTTGTTTATACGGAGTATATACGTCTTATCCCTGACTTCGGACAGCAGTCGAGAATGAAGGCACTGCCATATTCACGCTTGCTTGCTTCAAGATCCAACTAGAGACGTAAGAGCCACCGCATTACGAGCAAATATTAGTCTTATAGAACGCTCAATGGAACTCAACTGAGGCTTTCAAAAGAGCAGGGGAACGAGCGTCAATGGTAAGAGCAGTTGTGTCTAGGCTAACTACTTACGGAGTAGTTCCTGACTAAGTTAACTAACTAACTTAACTAGGTTAGCTAGATAGTTAGTTAACTAGTTAGTTACGCCAAGACCAAGATTGACTAGTTACTTCCGTCGTTATTTTGACGCTCTCCAAACTGATATCTCTTTCAGCAACAGAAATGTTCACCCAATGCCATGAATTCCAGCCCTGAAAGGTTGAAGACCGGAATATCATCTCCCTTGTCTTCGATAATATTCCAAGATACGTCACAGAATCTATTTATAATAGATATACCGGCATCAATCAGCTTGACCCAGCAATTACCAGGCAATATCAAAAGTTTTCCATGGTCTAGGATACCACTGATATACTCTTCAGAGGCCATCAGTAGCCCGTACGGTGGACCATCCCCCGAACCAAAGACAGCTTTGCGGAGGGAGAAGGTCCTCAAATATGTCTTCCCTGAAGAACGTGAATATCATGCATTGATATGTGCATTTGTTGAAGATGAGATAAGGAAGCCCCTGGAGAATTTCCAGGGCCAATGGTGTTATATCAGACATTTATTACCGCCTGATAAAGAAGCAGGCTTCCCTTTGCTTTCAAAGATATACCTGGGTTCAGACGGGCCAGAGTTGGAGTTTAATCAAGGACAAAACCGCCCAGATCTCACCTCAAAATCTCCACCAGTTATTCTTTCACCAGAATTAAACGCCTTCTCATCTGGCAGAGACATTTACAATGCACTCATAAAGAACCCTGGTTCATATCAAACCACAATAAAGCTTTCTAGGGTTCTCGGCTCAACCAGAGTTGACGAAGAGTCTGATCCGGGGAACCCAATTCTCTTTCGAATCCCACCCAAATCAACCTTTATACTGACGCATATTCAATCAAGCCTACCATGTTTAACCAACCCTCTCTCTGTGATTCCGCCTAGCCAAAAGTTTGACTTCATCCTTGCGGATCCACCATGGCCCAACCGGTCAGCTAAACGCTCAAAACAGTACATTACTTCAACTTTGTCGTTTGATGATCTAGAGCTTCTGATGGGAAATATTACACGAAAATTTCTTACATCTTCTGGTATAATAGCCATTTGGGTTACAAATTCCGGAAAGGCACGGCGAGCAGTCGAAAGTGCTTTTCAGGCGGTTGGGGTGAATAAAGTTGAGGAGTGGATATGGGTTAAAACGACAGTTACTGGAGAGATGGTGACCGCACTTGATGGAGTATGGAGAAAGCCATATGAAGTCCTGATAGTAGGGAGAGCAGGCTGGCAAGAGCATGGTATCAGGAGGAGGATTATTGCAGGGGTACCAGATATACATTCCCGAAAACCAGTGGTAAGGGAGTTAGTTGAGAAGGCCTTTTTTGATAACGAAGAATACACCGCCTTGGAGGTGTTTGCGCGCTATTTAACCGCGGGTTGGTGGGCTGTAGGGGATGAGGTAATGAGATTCAACTGGGATGGTTGGTGGGCAGACTAGGGATGGCTGGGCAAAAAAAAATTGTATACAAGCCACAATACGCAATATCGCACCATCGGCCTAGAGTACAGTATACATAAATCTCATCAATCAAACACTGGCCCTAGACTAACAAGGCTGAACCTCAAATCACCCTGTCCCGCATCTTCCTCTGTCTTCAAGAATCTTCTCACCCCCTTGTCCAACGCCTTCTCGCTCAACATGTCCTCATCTTCAGCCAACTCTCCTCGGCACAGTGGGCCTTTCCTCCTCCCATCAAGTTCATACAGCCGACCATCGTCACCTTTGACGAAACATACGAAATGTAAGTCAACCTTCTCTTCTGCACTAGGAGCACTCGTATCTCCTTTCTTTGCGGCATCTGCATGTGCGCTCTCTAGGGCGGAGCTAGAATACAGCAAGTCTGCTCTCTCTTGGGGAGCTAATGGGACAGCCTCTAGTAACAGCCGGTCCAGGTCAGAGCCCTTGCCAATTTCCTTTTTCGCGGCACCGTTAGATACAGCATGAAGTAGGCCGATGAGACCACATGCATTCCGGATTGTCTGCTTGAACCATATTACAGGTTCCTGTGGCCCAGAGGCAGCGTATGGTTCAATATTAGCATCTTCGGCAACCCGGGTCTTTTCATACGTGTCGGAAACCGGGAAGACGAGAAGGAGCGCTTGTGAAGGGCGAGGAATGAAGGCTAGAAGCTCTGGATCCGAGATGCTGTAGACATCCGCAAAGCCGAGGGTACGTGGGAGGCCGAGCTGGTGGATTAGATGCGACATGACCTCTGGATTGTTTTCTGTAACCGTGGTACCTATGAGCGCATGTACATATTGAAGGAGGGGTGTACTAACCGAGGGGCACGAAGGCCTTCGCATTGTCCGGACAGTCAGGATTATTATCAGCCATCTTGAGCTTTACAACACTAATTTAATGGTGTCTGAGTATATGAAGTTTGCAAATTCGTGCTCTCGGTATTTACAGACTGTGTGTTGCGGTGCTTGTATTCAATTTGATTGCTGCCTTGAGAAAAGTAAAAAAGTGGTTGGAGAGAAATGCGTCATAATGCAAACAGTGCAAATTATAAGCTTTACTTTTATATGACTAAATAATGACTAATCAATACGGATTTAAAGTTATAGTTAAGTAAAGCTAGGCCTAATCAGGCGAAGGCACCTCCAACGTCACCTGAATCGACTCGCGGTGTTTACGAATAAACCAGTGATCACCGTCGACTTTTCTGTCTGTTCTTTCCAAGCCTTGACCTGATCTGGGTATACGAAATCATCATGACGGGCGTTAAACGCAGTGATAGGGACATTTATTGGTTCCTGCTTATATATCCATAGCTGCTGAACCAAGGCGCGTCTCGCCTGAAATTCGGCAGAATAAATCAAACAAAAGCTGCGTCGTCTATTGAACGCAAAGTAGAGATAGCATAATCTGCCTTCACACTCTCCGCAAGTGAATTCTGCATGATTGGATGCTTTTGCCAAGAGCGGAGAAGATGAGGAGCGACGGTGGCAGTTACCACTAGCCGTGGCAGCGGATGAACTCCACCGCGCCCCAGTTCTAATCGTCTCAAAGGCAATTATACCACCGAATGAACGGCCTCAGATGGTGGCCGGGGTTCCAATGACAAGTTCCATCTCTTCAAGAGTCCCGGATACAACTTCATAGACAATCGATGGGATAGGATCGTCGATTCTGTTGTCTCTGCCAGGAGTTTGAACCGCGATGCTATCTAGCCCCTGTGGCAGCTTAATCAAATATGGAGCAAAGAAAGACGCATTTTTTGCCATTAAATGGATGCATAGAAGGGATGGTTGGCCTTTAGGGACGACAACGTTGTTGCGTCGTATGAACAAAGCGGAAATGTCAACCAGGCCACCAAAATGGAGGGGTTCCTGAACTTCCTCTTGACTCTGTTCTTGAAATGAGATTTCTGGCCTGTCAGAGTCTGAATTTGCAACTCGTTCGAGTTCCTGAGCTAGACTCTCAAGAGTTGGACTGCCGAAGAGCTTCATGAACGGGTACGATGTCTTGATATCACGCTGAATTATCCCTCGAACTTGTGCAAGGGTCAATGAATCCGTAACGTATCGATCCAGCTTTGTGGTCCGAGAGATTTTTACTCTCTTCTACCCCAAGAATTTTTCGAGACCAGCATGTAGGATATCGGCAATCTCCTCTGCGGACTTTGGTCCACCTCCAGGTCCTAAACTACCGGGTCTACACATCTTTGAACTCTGCTCGGGAAGACTGATAAATGCTCCATCTAAGACCATGTGAGGGGCTTCGGCTACAAACCTACGCCAATATATACCTGCTACCACTCGTTGCGTGGTTTGTCAATAATTGCTTTCTCCAACGTTGTTAGCACTTCAGGAAGGCTCATCGGGAACAGTTCTCTAATTATGTTGAACTCAACAAGTTCTTCGGCATCGTGTCCAGAGTTCTTTGAAAATACCAGCAAAGTTGCCTATCACTCCGTGGTTGAGAGCCAATGCGGTCGGCCCGGCATGTCAACGGTGATGTACCAAGTTATCAAGAAACTGATTGGCAGCTGAGTAGGCTAATTGTCCGGGAATACCAACTAAACTAGCAATATATCATAAGGACAAAGAATTCCAGCTTCATGCTTTTTGTGACTTGGTGAAGATTCCACTCGCCTTTTGCTTTGGATCAAAGGTTCTTCTGAAGCTATCAGTTGCGGTGTCCTTCAATGTTACATTCCCTGACACGGCAGCACAATGAACAATACCAGACACAGCTGGCCAACCTCTCTCATGGCTGAACAGTGAATGGACTTTTTTCGTGGTGGTAGTGTCCGCGAGTTCAACCCAAACTTCAACTCCAAGTCTTCGTAAACACTCGGTTGTTGCTCTACTGTCTCCTGATTTAGGTCCTGATTGACTGACAAGTGCAATATTTTGTACTCTGTCAGCTAAAAACTTTGCCAGTTGCAAGCTCAGTCCGCCGGCAACTCCTGTGATAAGGTAGCTTTGGCCACTGGGCAGCTGAAGCTATGGAACGACAGGAACCTCTACTCCTTCTGGCATTTCAATCGCAGCCCTCCCGATGGCCTCAGACCTTGACAAAGCAACCATCGCAGCTTTCAGACCCATTACAGTGAATGACGTGAGGGGTAGGAGCTCGAGCTTGTCTGTGTTAAAAACAACCCATGAAGTTCACCTTGCAATTCGTGATGTCTCTCCGGCTTTTTTTGACCAATCGATCCATGTTAAAAATAAAGAACGAACAGTCCTGGCCAAATTGCTCTAGGTCCAGCCGCCTATTATGACAGATATTGATTTTTCCAATCTCTACAGGCCGCCCAAATGATGCCAGGCATTCGGCAAGTGCGGCTAGGGGTTCACCAGCTAGCGAGTTCAACTCCACACCAACCCCGCGTCTATTTGTGGCCTTTTTGACTGCATCATGGAATGACACTGAATGGGAATCAAATGCTCCCCGAACGCCTTGCATGTTTGCAACAGCTTCACGCCGTTCGGGTCTCCCAGCGGTTGCATATACATGTGCTCCAAGTTCCTATGCAATCTGAATCGCCGTCATCCCTACACCACCGGCAGCAGCTTGTGCTAGGTCACGCGACTTGGGCTTGAAATGAACTAGACTTTGGTTGGTGATAAGATTCCCAGAAATGCAACTGGCTACTCCAGCCACAAATTCGCATCCAACTTCGAGGCCCTTTACCTTTTCGCCAACACCGGAGATCCCGAGTGTGAGCCCTGAAAGAGACATGGAAACCGCACGTTCATTCGATAGGCCCAAGTTATTAATGATGTCGTTGAAGTTTAAACCTGCGTAGTGGATGTCCATGCCTACGTCTTCGGCTCCAAGGACATCCGACCAGGGAACACATTGACGGAACTTAATGCCATCTACTGAGCCTCCGGGATCGGGTTCGGCAAAATAACGGCCACACCGTGCGGGCATTATATGTACAGGCTTGCAATCCTTGCACCCTTCATGTTCAGGGTTAAGGAGGATCAGCCGTTTCACGAATGCTCCTTCTGGGCGCCAGGCTACTACATTTTGATCACAGCGAAGTCGGCCTCTGCAGAGTTCTGATTCGAGCAATCTGAGATGCTTATTGCTCTCACCAAATAGTAGGTCTACCAGCCGGAATCGGACCCACGGAAGTTCGTTCGCCGCTACCCTTACGGCCGTCTGTGGAGCAGAAGAGAATGGGTCGCAGTGTGAATCTACTGGGGTCATACAAGCTCCTTTGCTAATGACGATCACAGTCGTAGCCCCTTTACGTGAATGAAGGTGGTTTGCAATTTCCATGATCGCATGGATCGTCAACACTAGGTTGACCTGTGGATCAATAGCTGAATCCCCCGAGGAAGTCAAGATGATACTTTGGGACAAGAATGAGGCTACGCCCGCCCAGAGGGAAGCCTATTTTTCCCGGTATCTTAGGCTCTTTTGAGGGGAGCACTCAAGTTTTGGTATATGAGCCCCTGGAAAAGGAGATTGGATAGCGGAGGTACAATCCATAACACCCAGTTGCAGCTCAAATAATACCGCCATATCACAGACAATTTCGAAGGAATCGTCTCCCGGCTCTGGAGTAAATGAGATATCATACTGTGGCAGTGCTTACAGCCCCACATGTGTCAACATTTGCACTTCTTCGATGGTATAAGGGAGGTAGATGTATTTCCATTGGGCTCCCTATGTACTGTTGGTCACCATACAAGGTATGCAAGCTTGCATCCAGAAGAGCAGGGTGGATTCGGAAGCGTGCTGCTTCTTGATGCAAGGCTTTGGGGAGTACCACAAGTGCAAACAAATATCTCATTCCCAAGTCTCCATATCTTCTGTGTACCGCAAAAGGAGTTGCCGTACCGGAGACCAGCCCTCTCTCTCTAAGTTCAAATAGAATTTTATTAATGTTAACCACTTCACCTGTTTGAACTCGAGCTCACGCAGATGATAGGTTTCCTATTACTGACTGAATCTGTCGAAGCATTTACTCGCCCACGTGAAATTATTTGCCATGGATCGTCTGGTTTAGCATCTGCTATGCGGGAGCTTATAATAAAATCATGGGTGGCAGGGATAACCTCCAGTTGCGCCTGTAGAGGGGAATCTTCTGTTGAAACCATAACAAGAGCATGTTTGAACCTCATACCTTCTATTTCGATACTGCAACATCATTATTTCGACTTATGGAGGGGAGTATAGTGGCAGGCGTTCGCAAGTGACACCGCGATGCGATGTGTCTTACCAACAAGGATGGTCCAATTTCTACGCGTAAGGTATAGCCATCCTTCAACACTTCACTTACTGCTTCTAAATACCTCACTGGACGGCGGATGTTATGAAACCAGTACTCCCCCGTTAAGTATGTCTCTGTCTCCTTAGTTGTGATGGCAGTGGAGTATAGAGTGAAGTCAGCTTCTCTATCTTGGATTGCAGACAAGGACTGCATCAGTGCTTCTTCGAAAGGGTCCATAACACGAATATGATAAGGAACATTGATCTTCAGATCTTCAATGCTGATCAACTGAGGGGAATCGCCGGCTGCAAAACAACGCTTGCATACAGAATGTTGCAAAATTTGTGCTCACAATATTGAGACAAACGCTTGTTCGTACGGATTTATAACACTCCCTCCATCTTTTGATCGCAAGTTCAAAGTAGAATCCACATCTACCTGTTGAATTTCCAGACATATATTATAACAAACTAACATAGAATATGGACTAGAAAAACATCCCGATTTGCTTCGTGTAATTTCAACGTCTCTCTCCCAGACCTAGAAGACAATGGTATGCATGGGAAATTCAATATTCAGTGGCTTTTCTTTTAGCAAGTATTGGGATGCAATCAATCCTGACATAGCCTGAATGGCCATATCATCAAGGAACGGAGCATATTCAACGTACAGCACGTATTTTTTTTTTTTAAATCGCAGATTCTTGTTCTCTATTTGCTGAATCAAGCCTCAAACCGCGTCTAATGCATCTTAAAGTGACCCCTTCTGGAATATGGGGTATGAACCTATAAGATCACGATATTGACCGAATATTCCACGAGTGACATCTGTGGCTTCGACTATGTATTAATACTATGACAGGTAAGGCGATCCATGTGCGCTAGCACATCAACACCCTCGATGCAACTATTAGTAGAATGGTAGGAGGCCATGTATTGTCATGATACTGATTTCTCTTTCAACGGTGCAAATACATTCATCCACAGTTCACTGGCCTCTCCTACATAGTAGGTAAGATCCATGTCTGCCATCCCGGCCTCCTCATCTCCTGCAATGGTCTCAAGCTGGGAGATAATATTCTCCAGTCCAAATGCTTTTCCCGTGGCCTGAGTACTGCCCGCATCAAGCATGACATTGACCACATGGATGTGAAAATGGTAGTAGGTAGGCTGATAGTGGACGTACAACTTGATCTGGTCCCGCTCCATTGATGGATAGACCTTGACAACGCTGTCGAGTATGCGATTTCGCATGTGTTTCAACCATGGTACGTGCTTCTTCTTCAGGTCACGCAGGCTCCAGATATCTCGTCGCTGAACGAGGGTCAGCAACCGAAGCGTACCCATTGTCTTACGGTCCCAGTTTAGATCTGGGAGTAGCAGGAACCCTTCCTCCTCATCTTGATGACGATAGAGCACATCCTCTTGCTCCTTGCGCCCCTCGATGATATTATAAACCCAGTTCAGACGGCCGGCTTCACGTTTGCCAGACATGTAAGGGTGGACATGCTCCCGGTAGATAGCTGGTGTCTCCGTGACCATGCGTACCGGTTGTACGGAGTATTTAGCAACATGTTGGGGTGTACACGGGTAAATAAGGGTAAGCTTCAAGTCTGGTGAAGCCGGAGATGACGGGGAACAAGCGAGGGCCCAGTGGTAAATGTCGTTTGCGCTAATGAGAGATACATGAGTAAGAGAACTGCACAGGGAGGCCAAGGAAGCTTGGTCGACGGCAAAGGCGGCGCGTTCCACGAGCAGGATGGCAGGTTGGTCGTCGATGGAGCCGAGGAGCGAGATACGCCGGTCGTTCTGGTCTGATATGCATACCTGAGTTAGCGGCAGCTGCACGGGTGAGGCGCCGATTGTTCAATTAGGACGTCCTACCTTGATTGAGCAGCCATTCAAGACTAAACCGTTTCACCAAGCCGGTGACATCTACCTGATTCTCCCCCATACCTGTCATCGTCGTGCCCGCTGGCCTGATACCTATGATCTGATCTGGTAGAAACAAAAAAAAACAAACTTTCAGTTGGCCAACAAACTACGCGATTACATAATATAGGGTTGTATTACATAATCTTCCATGACTTTGACTATATGTACTTAAGAACAAGTGGACTCGGAGATGCTCCATCTTATGCGGGGCATGGCTGTGGGCATGAACCCATCATCAGCAGCACTGTTATTGGGCAGGAACTCGAGCTGCCCGCAACCAAGAGATGAACCCAACTATCTGGTCCAAGATGGAGCATCCAACACTTTATGCAAGCGGACAAGGCAATCCTCAAGGCGGTCTCTGTATTCTCTCCCTCTCTCCCGGCTCTTCCCAACTTATACTCGGCTCATCTATAGAGACCTTTCTCGCTTTGCCTTCTTTTTGCATGGGCGACTTCCTCTTGCTCTTGACATGTTGACTGCCTCTTTTGGACAATCTTATCTAATCTTTAGCTATTAATAGGACGGGATGACATAATCACGGATATGTCCTTGGCGAGGCTTGGCGAGGCTTGACCTAGTTAAACATGCAGCACGTGCCTTCCCGTGACAACCCTATTGGCTGTGTCTGTACTTTTCTCGCCTTCTTCTTTTCTTTTCCACACGACAGAAACTTCCCTGTCAACAGACATCCTTAGCTCGCTGAATTATTCGGAGATTGCAGCCCAGGAAGCAAGGAAAAAGCAAGAAAGAATGGAGACGAAAGAAACGACAGCACAAGGGAGGACCAGCCTTTTTCACTGCCGCCAGCCTATAGCCTGCCTCTTAAGCTAGAAGACGGAATCCTCCGAGCCCATGTCCAAGGAATATACGGAGTACAAGGGCTCGGCCATGGCGTGGAGTAGCACGTTGCAGTGGTTGGCGAGCTGACTCGTGATGTAAATGAGATGATGCAAAGGCGCGCCGCCTGGCAAGGGTGGGCGTTCCTTTCCTAGACAACGTGGGAGGTGGGCCGAGATCAAGGCCAATATCGAAAGGAGCAAGACGGACGAAGACGAGCAGAGCATGGGTACGGAGGCCTAGGGGAGGCAATGTTCGTGTTGGGAGATGTGCATATATAAGAGAGAGCTTTGCCTGGTCCCATTGACTTTCTCTTCTTCCTCCTCCTCTTGCACTTCCTCGTCCAAGCCAAGCAGACAGGCAAGATGAAGTTCACCGTCCTTGTCGCCTCCGCCTTTGCCTCCACAGCTTTTGCCCAGACTTTCCAGCGTCTGGGTGGCTGTCCAGACCTAGGATGCATCTTCCCGCCAGACAAGTAGGCTGTCGCCCACAAAGAACCTCGCATTGAGTGATAATAGCGATGCTAACAGACGGTGTGTAGGGCCGAGTTCTTGTCTGGACAGTTCTTCGACATCCGTCTTGAAGTGCACTCGCCCGTCAACGGATCCGAAGCCCGTGTCGGTGGCCCAGACGAGAAGTTCACATTCACCATTGAGCGCAAGGGGCGCGGACACCAGCAGCCAGAGCCGGCCACCAAGTTCTTCAAGACCGAAGAACCCAAGCTTGAAAAGTGGCAATTCTCCTGGTACGAAGACCTGTTCGCCAAAGATGCTGGGAAGCCCTCTATTGTCAACGTCGCATCCAAGGCCTTCAGACGTGTCAGCCTGGACCGTCCTGGCATCTATGAGGCCGTCTAACCTACTACGATGGCAAGAAAACCACTGCTACTTGGGAGGTCAAGGAGCTGCGCACCCGTCGCCGTGCAAAGAACGTCATCCTCTTCATCGGCGATGGCATGACCACCAACATGATCACTGCTGCTCGTCTCATGGCCCATCAATCCATCAATGGCAAGTACCAGTCCAAGATGCAGATGGACCAGTTCCCCGTCCTTGGCCACCAAATGACCCATTCCATGGACTCCTTCATCACCGACTCGGCTAACTCGGCCACTGCCCTCTACACCGGCCACAAGTCCACTGTTAATGCATTGAACGTTTACCGTGACTCTTCCAAGTCTCCCTTTGATGACCCCAAGTTCGAGACCATTGCTGAGATCTTCCGCCGTGTCAATCCTGGTGCTGGTGTCGGGATCGTTTCTACCGCTCATTTGTCCGATGCTACCCCGGCTGCTCTGACTGCCCACACCAGTGACCGTGGCCAGAGTGCTCATGTTATCGACACTTACTACCACGGTCTCTCCAACTACACCTGGACTCAGTGGGATGGCCCGGATGTTCTCTTTGGTGGAGGTGCCGAGGATTTCCTCCCCAACAATGACAACAAGAAGCAGAATTACTACGAGATGTTCAAAAAGAAGGGATACAGCCTCTCCTGGAACGCCACAGCCCTCGCCCAGGCTTCCAACGACGATCGTGCCCTTGGTGTCTTCTCCACCAGCGTCATGGCTAAATGGCTCGACCGCAATGTCTACAAGGAAAATCTGAAAAACCAGAAGAACTACCCCGATGGTTCTGACAAGGACGCCGATGACCAGCCCGGTCTCAAGGAGATGACCCTCAAGGCCATTGACATCCTCCACACCCGTAACCGCAACCACCGCGAGAGCCGTGGCAAGGGTTTCTTCCTCATGTCCGAGGCTGCGAGCATCGACAAGCAGATGCACACCATGGACTATGACCGTGCACTTGGTGAGCTTCTCGAGCTTGACGACACCGTTCGCGCTACCATTGCCAAGCTCCGTGCTCTAGGAGAATTGGATGATACTCTTATCATCGTCACCGCCGATCACGGTCACGGCTTCGATGTCACTGGATCTGTTGACACCAAGTACCTCGCTGAGCAGAAGTCTGATCGCGAGAAGCGTAAGGCTATCGGTACCTACTTCAACTCTGGTCTCTCCCAGTACACCGTCCAGAAGCAGGGTTCTCTCAAGTACTCCGAGGGCGTCCACTTTCCCGCTCAATGGGATCCACGATACACCCTTCATAGTGGCCTTGGTGCTCATCCTGACAAGCGTGAAAACTACCAGGTTCATAAGGATGGACCTCGTCTCCCAGCTACTACCGCCCGTGGAGCTAAGGACTACTATGTCAACTACAAGGATGCTGTTACCGGCTTTATCGTCAACGGCACCATTGCTCCAGATGAAGGCCAGGGTGTCCACTCTCTCACGGACGTTCCTGTCTTCGCCATGGGACCATGCCAGGAAGACTTTGGTGGTGTATACAACTCCGTTGACGTTTTCTTCCGTATGGCCCAGTGCCTTGGTCTAAGCAAGACCAGATGGTAAACGTAGTTGTATAATTAAGTTCCTCATATCTTTCGTTTATGATATTATTTAATGTCCGCAATGGAGCATGTGTATATTTTTTCCTCTAATCTTTTATGCTAGATATTGAAACATTACCACTGAATATTGAACTCCTACCCTAAAGCTTAACCAACATCTAATATCTCGATAAAACAATAGTTTGTTCAATTTTTTAACTGTGCAGGTCCCTCTCTGTCGTCATGTATCTACATATACCTGTCAGTTCATGTACCCCCCTCATCTCTACCCCCAAAATCAAACGCACTTACCGAATGTGCAAACGATACCCACTCTTCCATAGACCGAACATATAGGTCATCGTCCGTCGGAAGCTTCTCATGCTCCCATACTGTAAATGCAGAGAACCTTCCAACTGTCTCAAGTTGAGAAAGAGGTTCTTCGTTATCTTCTGCATCCTCATTTTCATATCCCACCACTCTTTTGGTGACAGGTTCATCTTTCGGCAGCTTGGTTACTACCACTCCTATTCTACGTTAGAGATGAGATACATTGTAGCATACGAGATACATACCGTGGTAGCCATCTGGGAGGGGCACGGAACGACCGCGCAACTTTCGGCCACGGAAATATGCTGTTGACACTGACTGTTCTATTCAATTGAGTTAGATTTAGTTTAGATTTAGTGGACATGTGGCTCACAAGTATGAAGGTAGGTATATTTGTTATGTACATACTGTTGTCAGCACCCCCGTCATTAACAGGATTCCAGTATCTTTTTGAGACTTCTACCGGGCCATCATGGTGGATTCGGCAGGGTAGTATGTTCATCGACACAGATACTGGTGTATGAGCGCTGTTGACCCATGGTTGGGACTGGGATGCCTTCTCTTGGTCTGGTTCTGGCTGGTCTTCCAGCTTTTGAACTCTCTCCTTGGTCGTCGCGGGCCGTAGAGCGAGCATTATTCCGATAACCAATAGAACTTGGTCGTTAACTCATTCGATCGATAGCTGCAGGTCAGGGTGTATCTTCTAGCTGGGTATCAATGAGTTTCTTAATATCTTCTTTCCTGCGTTATGAGTTGATGTTGAAATAAGGTGTACTTGTGGTTTAAATTGAATTAGACGCGTCGCGTTTGTCTCCATTCGTCATAACTAGTTATCGCTTATCGGCTAAAAATTATATTCCTGAATGCAACATTACTTCCTAGCGGATTACCTGTTAAGCACAAAACCTGGCTTTGTACTTGATGTCGATAGATGGCTTAATGTTAACTGAGAAGCAAAGTTGTTTTGCTCAATACGAAACGCTCTCTAATGCAATCAGCACCTGTCTATGTACAATATTAATAGGCATTAACCGTAGCAATGACAATACGGAAAGGGTATCCAGAAACACTATAGGCGTTGATAATCAGGTCACTTTTTCTTCTTCTTGGGCTTCTTTTTCTTCTTCTGTTCTCCAGATCCACCATCTACAAGAGCCGGCCGAGCAGGCCACCTCTTCGCATGTTCCTTCTCAAAACCATCTTTGTCCCTACGGAAAAGCATCATTGTAGCCCTCGCATCTTCAACACTCGAGTGTGCACTGCCTTGTATCTCCAACCCTAACAACTCCGAAGCTAGAATCTTCAACTTTGGTGATCCACCCCCTGCCAACTTCCGGTATGGCGGGTATCGACTGGTATCTCTAATATCCCGTTTTGAGTGACTGAGTAACAAGGCTTCCAGATCGTTTCTTACAGCGTGGCCGATGAGGATACGCCCATCGAGTAATTTGGCCACGTCCTGCTGGACAGTCTCCAGCGATCGCGCCTCAGCCATATGTTTTGGGAGGATGCCGCTTATCGCCGAGCGCCAATCGGTAACCATTTCTTTAGGTCGGACGTATGAATCGTAGACTTGATCACCATTATAATTCACAATACTGACGCGGGCGAGAGCCGAGTCTCTATCAGGGTCTGGTCCTACACCAACCATCTCGCAGTCTATCGCAACGTATTTTCCCACTTCGACACTGTCACGCCTGCGTTAACATCCCTTCACTGGAGGCGTTAGTGGGGAATACATACTCAGAAGAGAGGCCTATATTCACTAGGTCCTTGTCAGATGATTGTTGACCTGAAAGCGCTTTCGCTGCATTATCTTCATCAGTAGCCGCCGTAACTGTGGACATGGTCTTCCGCCGCTTAGATTCGTGTCCACGATAGGTGTCCCCCTTAGTTTTGGTAAAAGTTTTGGAGGATAATGGTAGTTTCCTCCTCACACCACCATTGTATACTGAGCTACCAGTTGCTGTCTGTTTTTTCGTGGCTGAACTCTTACCAGTCGTAGTATTGCTGGATTTCAGAGTCTGCTGAAGCTTTTTCCAATTGCTCGAAGGATCTTTTCGCTCCATCCCAGCTATAAGTGTGCACCCCGTCTACCCCGCAGTCTCCCATGGATGAAGTCACCTATGTCGCCTTTTCCCCCTTGTTGCTTGCGGCTTGAAAATATTAATCTGACGCTGGAAGATCTTATCATCGATGCAAACAGTGCAAACAGAACGGTGATTATGTAACTAACGCTTTGCCTGGTCCTAGTGGGCGCGTGGAAATAGACGCGGACGGAACCTTAAAAGGGGAACATACATGCTCCCCAGTAGTTATCCAATATTATGATCTTACATCATGATAAGTGAGAGGTTGCTGGTATATCAAGAGCTAAGGACAAGTCATTTCTCGTATGTACATAATGCCAGAACTCCTAAACACCCTTGATCCTCCACTTTGGGCCAAAAAAGATAACCAGAGTTTGCGATTGTCTATTTCAAACTGATGGGACTTTGAAGTCTTTGTATGTCCACTTTTCCGTTGCTTTTCTCTTTGCCTTTTTGGCCTGTGTGATTGGATTGCGGGCTTCTAGCTTGCCCTGGACCATCAGGGTTCTATATCTGTCGGCTAGTAAATTCCCTTCTGGCTTGAGGAGGAGAAGAGAATCTTTAAGTTCTTCCGGAAGAACCAACTCCAGTGGCTTGGCCGGTACGCTATAAATATGTGTTAGTGATGAATATACTAGGAGCATAATGATTAGACTTACGGAGTTCTGCCACCAAATGGTCGCTTGCGGAGGGTAGGCTCGTCATCTTCAGACGATTCTTCAGCCTTGGCCACAGCCAGTTTTGCCTTCTCTTTCTCTTCAATCTGCTTTGAAATTGCTTTAGCTTGTGCAGCTTGCTGCTCCCGTTTCTTCATTTTAGCCTCTGCCTTCGCTTTTCTCTCTGCCTCTTTCCTCCTTAGAATTTTATTTCTCTGTGCCTTTGTTTTCCTCTCAGGTCGCTTCTTCTTTATTGACTCAGCTTCGTATTCACTTTCGAACCCTTCCCATGCGCTTTCGTCGTCAGATTTTACTTGCCCATCATCACCTTCAGCTGCTTCAATACGTGCGATGCGCTCCGCTTCCCTCTTCTGCTCCTCTAATCGCAATTTCTCAGCTTCGACTTCCTTCTCCCCTTCCTTTGTAAGAAGTTCATCCCACTCCTGGAAAGATGGGTTGTAGCTCGTTCCTGCCTTAGGTTTTATCACCGATGGTATCGCTTTACCATTAGCCGCTAGTGATATAGGTGCATGGGACAAGGTCTTTGGGGCAACGACTGGCTTCTTTTTCTCTAGGAAGGAAAATTCCTGTTCTTGTTTGGCTTCCATCGCCCATGGGTCATGGGCAACACTAGGCTGAATTGATGTCTCATCAAGTTTGGCTTCCCGAGCCACCTTTTTCAACCGTAGCCATTCTTCTCTAGTTACCCAATCACTTCGACTTCTCTTTGTCTTCGGCTCTATAACTCCATCTGTAACCCTGGAATTGGATGGGCGCTTACGGCTGTCGACTGCGCTTATAGCCGAACGCTGCGCAATAATCTCATCGGCACGTAAAGATTTGAATTTTTTTTGAACCTTTCGCTGAACTTCCTCATCTCCCGTAGGGTCTAATATAAACAGTTCCTCGGACGGTTTCTCTGCCAGCACACCGCTATAAACCAGATATTAGTATATCAGTTACTCCAAAATGGAAAGAAATAAAAAGAGTTTCGCATACCCTTTGATCTCTTCTTCTCGAACCTGGTCGAGCCCCTCTTGCACTTCAGTGACATCGACATTTTTCCTCCATGCTTTCTTACCCTTTCTAGAGGGCTGCTTAAACTGTTGCGGGGCTCCCACCGTTGCCGACATGCTGTTAATCGTGATTTTGGGAGAAATAATAAAAAATAAAAAAAATAAAAAAATTGGCTAGAAGAGATCGTTTGTGTTATCACCTGCTTGTAATTTTCTTCATGGAGGAAAAGTTATAACCTTATGTTTTGCGCTTGTGGTTGGTCAGTTTAGTCAGGTTTGTTAGTTATCGCGCTTGGCGCTAAAAGGCGCTAAAAGTCGAGACTTCACCTTTCTTCGCAAGCCGCAAGAGCTTTAAGCTACAAGTACGTTCTATTGTGAACAAGAAATCCTGGGCAAAGTCCCGATACAACAATACAGTAAGCATCGAGAGTCATCTGTCCGTCAATATGCCGGTCGTAAAAGGCGGTGTTTGGTAAGTACTGCTTTGTTTTTTATTTTCATTCAACGCGCGTTGCTGATAACAGGCTACTAACCGTTGTTCTAGGACCAATATCGAAGATGAAATCGTCAAGGTTGCTGTTTCTAAGTACGGCCTTAATCAATGGGCTCGAGTTTCGTCTCTTCTTGCGCGCAAGACCCCGAAACAATGTAAAGCCAGATGGTCAGAATGGCTAGATCCCGCCATCCGAAAGATCGAGTGGTCTAAAGAGGAGGACGAAAAACTTCTTCATCTAGCCAAATTGATGCCTACGCAATGGCGAACTATTGCCCCTATTGTCGGACGAACGGCCACGCAGTGCTTGGAGAGGTATCAGAAACTGTTAGACGAAGCTGAAGCCAGGGAATCAGACGAGCTAGGCCTGGGAGGGCCGGCTGGTGGCGAGGCTTCTGCCCCCAGTGCAGACGATGTTAGAAGGCTACGGTAAGTTTATTCCTACGCATCTGGTCTTTAGATTTACTGACGATCCTTGTGTAGGCCAGGAGAACTAGACCCTGATCCTGAATCCAAGCCTGCGCGTCCCGATACCATTGACCTTGATGAAGATGAGAAGGAGATGCTTAGTGAAGCACGAGCGCGTCTTGCTAACACTCAAGGCAAGAAGGCGAAGCGAAAAGCTAGAGAACTCCAGCTAGAGGAATCCCGGCGACTTGCCGTCCTACAAAAACGAAGAGAGCTCAAAAATGCGGGAATCAATATCAAAGTTGTCACGCGAAAGCCTGGTCAAATGGACTACAATGCGGATATACCATTCGAAAAGGCGCCTGCCCCCGGTTTCTACGACACACTTGATGAACAGTCAAGGAACGAACGTCAGCGTGCCAACTTCGATCCCCGCAAGCTCCAGCTCGCAAGCAAACGGAAGGGAGACCAGGAAGAGGACGATGATAGGAAGAGACGGAAGAATGAAAAGAATGGTTCGTCTTCAGCCTTCGCGGCTGCTGCTAAAGCAGGCCAGATGCAGCGAATTCGTGAAGCGGAACAAAGCAGCAAACGCCGAGCACTGGTCCTTCCAAGCCCACAGGTGGGAGAAACTGAGCTGGAAGAGATTGTCAAAATGGGAATGGCTGGAGAACGTGCAAGTAAGATTGCGGGTGAAGATGGTAATGACGGAACCCGGGGGCTTGTCGGTAACTATTCTAATATTGTCGGGAACACGCCTATTCGAACACCCAGGGCATTACCGGAAGAAGACAGAATTGCGAATGAAATCCGAAATATTAAGGCATTGACGGAGACACAATCATCGCTCCTAGGCGGTGAAAATACTCCTCTCCATGAAGGAGGCTCTACCGGCTTCGAGGGAATAGCACCTCGCCAACACCAAATGGTTACTCCGAACCCTATGGCGACGCCATTCCGACAAGGCATGGGAAATGCAGCCAACGCTACCCCAATGCGTGGGCCTGGTGCAACACCTCTGCGAACCCCTAGAGACTCTTTAATGATTAATCCTGAAACTGGCGATCCTTACCAGCTTGTTGGTGCTACGCCCAGAGAAGTAAAAATGCGGGAAAACTTTGCGAGACAAAATTTGAGATCCCAGCTTTCTAGTCTTCCCAAGCCCAAGGAGACGGAATGGGAGCTAGAGGAAATGCCTTCAGAACGACCTGTCCCACAGTCCTTTAATGGGGTTTCGGAAGAGGATGCCTCTGAGCGTGATATGAGAAACAGACTCGCTGCCGAGAAGGCAGCGGAAATAGAATTTAAACGACAAACACAAGTCTATCAACAGGGGCTTCCTCGTCCGGCCTTGGTCAACATCCGGCACCTAATGGAGGATGCTGATAACATAGAATGTCCTGCTCGTCGACTTGTCGCGCTTGAGATGGCAAAGCTGATTGCGAATGATGCTCGAAAGTTTCCATTACCCGGATCCAGAGTCGAGGGTAAAATACCGAAACTAGACACGTTAGATGATGATCTCATATCAAAGGCAAGAGAGGAGGTAGATGCAGAAGCCGGGAAACTTGGAGCACAGCCGCAATGGAATGATAGTTTCCGGTCATCGTGGTCTACCCTTCATGAGTCTACCTCTACTTTACCCGGACTTTCACTCTACAGTGAGGAAGAAGGAGATGACGAATACCGTTTCCAACAAGAGAAGAAGGAGATGGCTCATGCATTTGACAGTGTTCAGGCTAGCTTGCTGCAAGCCGCTGAGCAAGGTAACAAACTGGAGAAGAAGATTGCATTACATTTTGGAGGATATCAGGCCCGAGCAAAGACATTGCGAAATAAAATAATCCAAGCTGATGAAGCCCTCAGCAGAGCTACCACGGCCCTCGACTCGTTCCGCACATTACAAATTGCGGAGGATGCAGCCATTGCCTTGCGGCTTGAGAGCATTCGGGACGAGGTAACCTTTATTACGAGACGAGAGCGCGAAGCACAGGAGCTCTACAGGGCTAGGAAGGACGAGCTTGAATCTTTGGGTGGAGTGAATGGGTGGCATTAAAGGGAGTTAGGTTGTTCTATTTCAGCTTTTTTGGCCCGGTGGAAAATATATTGCTCCTTGTTCTTAGTAGTTCCTGTTCCTTTTTGCTTCTTTATTTCCTATGTTTGTATTTTTACTTATCTGCACAACAAGGCGTTCCCAACTGTATCTAGGCGAGTTAATTATGGAATCATCTATCTTCACTTCAGTTTCGGCTGTCGATGTGGTTCCTCTGCTCCGATACTTTGCCGCGCGTGTCAATATTTTGGTAGCGCGTGGCAATTAACAACGCCATCGCTCCCCAGAACTTCAAAGGTCGAACGAGATTTTCGCTCGCAACCTCAAAGTCGCATCTCAACAACATCCATCAA